AGTGCAGGAGATCTCCACACTGGTTTCAGGTTGATGAATGCCTGTCTTGCTGTCTTTCCGATTCTCACTTTGACATCGTCGTCTGTGCGTGTGTCGCCTGTAGTTGAAACAGTGCTGCCTAGATAGGTGAAGGAGGTTACTTCCTTGAAGTTTCTCGCATTGATGGTGATTGGAGTTTGTTGTTAGTTGGGTATCTCCATCACCTCTGTCTTCTCTATATTCACTTGAAGTTCCGTCTTCGCTGTCTCACCTCTTCTGTCAACTTGTTAGTTTTCGTCTGTAGATCTTCAAGTTTGTGCGACATTAGACATAAGTCATCACAGGCGAAATCCAAGTCTTCTTGGTTCCTTTTCGCTGTCCAGCTTATCCCGCTTTTCTCACTCCTCACTGTTTGTTGCATGATCCAGTCGACCACAATCAGGAATATTATGGGGGATAGTAGGCAACCTTGTTTCACCTCGCCTGGTTAACTACTTCACTAGTTACTATTCGATGCTTAACCCGGGTAACGAGGGAAGTTTGGGCATAGGGCTAGCAACCCTACCTCGTAAAACAAATCAAACCGCTAAATAAACTTCAAAGCACAAACAAATTAGGAAAAATGAAAACAAATTATTGCTTGCTGGAACGGAGAGACGAAATGACGCCGGTTGGTGAAAGCCATCGGGAAGCCAATTGGCCGATGTGTCTCTTCTCTCTCTCTCTCGATGAAAGCAAAAGTGAGGGTGGGGACATGGAATGTCCGCACCATGTTTGAACTGTAACATATATCAGCAAATTTCAACAGATCACTTCTAATCACCTACTAGGCAGTATTCTAAGTTATAGGGAGTTAATTTAAGTTTAATTTACGTAGTTTGTCTATGTTTCATAAAATAGACAGGAATAAACTCAAAAACTATTGCAAATTGGAGCTAAAAAATTGCAGTTTAAATTCACTACTAATAGAAGTAGTGTTTCGTCAAGTGTTTACTCCATTATCGATATGTTATGACAAACCTTATATTTAGTTAGTATAGTCAGCGAATCTTCAAAAGATTTCAGAGAACAGAGCGCATTGGAGACGTGCTACTGAAGCCCTATGTTCCATTAGGAAGCCAAGGGACAAATAATAATAATAACAGTCAGCGGGTAGGATGATATCCAATTAGTATCAATAAGACGGTCAGCGTACAAAAAGCCTACATAGACAGAACAGTATCTAAATGTTCATAGCTTTTTTCTTACCCAATACAACCAAGGTCTAATGAAATGCCTGTTTAACAGGATCTGTCGTATCTCTACATTACATACAATGATGGCTGAAAATATCAAATTACTGATCTAAGCACTTATGGAAAAGTAATATCCTTTGAATTTTGTAAGCCATTGTAGAATCCAGCTGGCACCGAAGTCAACTCTATACACAGTTCGCAAGATAAGCATCCATATCACTCTACGATACACAAGGCAGTTGAATAGTATAGTTTTGAGACGTAGGCTAACATGAACCATTCGGAAAACATATTATGCAGTTAATATTATTATTGTTGTTGGAAAAACAAAAAAAATGTTTCACTATATCAATGATTGCATCACATTCTACTGTGTTCACTTGCTATTATGTGTGTATGGTCAAACATACATGTAGATGAAGGTTGGATAACATGTACCTTAATAGTTTGAAAAACAAATAGAGTGTCAAACTTTGATAAGCACAGGTGGGAATCGACCTACTTCATCTACAGCTAAAGATATTATAGAAACGGGTAACAAAATTCCTGTTCAATCAGTTTTCAAAGTTTTCGGTAGAAACAGTGGGGGATGCATAATGAGATTTGTAGAAGTGATAGCTATACACAAATCGAAATCACCTTCATGTATACAAAAGTAGTTTATTCTTACACTACATCTACCTTGGTAAACTATGTTTTCTTACCAAGATTAATATCAACTATATTATTCTTCCTTTATGTTTTCATCTTTCCTCATTTTAATCCCTTACTATGTCAGTTGTTATATTTGTCCTCTTATCCTTCGGTTTAGCATAAATTAACTTGAGATTGGTAAATGTGTGATCAAATTGTTCAAAATGTAATGCGCAATTATGTCATACTATTCAGAGAAACTTCCTCTTCTAATTACAACACTATCTAAATTCATAAATGTGACTAATTGTTTCAAATAGTCTCAAATAATTTAAGTAAATACTACAATGCCTGTTTAAAATCGCAACTATATAAAAACCCGGTGTTCACCATCATTTATCCCATTCCAGTATTCCCAGTCGACAACAGACTATCTATTCGCTGAATGCTTTACATTTTCTTCAACCAATTAACACCTAAACTATTTCTACAGTAAAATGATTTTTTTATAGTTTATTCATCATGAACTAATTGAGATCATCTGGGTCGTTAAGTGTACTTCTTATAACACATTGAGCTTACTGATGTTGGGCTGTTCAGTGTCAATACAATCCATCATATTCGTACACCACCGTACCATCCGCAATCCAATGGCCAGTCAGAAAGATATGTTGATACCTTTAAGTGAGCTGTCCTTGAAGCCGAAGAAGGAGGAGGAGACACTGGTGTTATACAACAATTTCTACTCATCTATCGCTCAACGCCAAATGACGCCCTACCAGACCACAAATCTCCTGCAGAAGTTCTAATGGGAAGGAATCTACATATGCCACACCACGCAATGCTACCACCACGTCATGCACAGACAACGCGAACAGTTGGATCACACTTTAACATAGGAGACTCCGTCTACGTACAAGATTTCAGACTAGCATACGGCATGTGGAGAGGTGTTGTCATGGAAAGACGTGGGGATATGATGTACGATATAACGGTGGGTCAGGAGAAATGGGAGAGACACAAGAATCAAATGCGTCACAGAAAAGCCAATCAACCAGAGAACCCAACTATAACACTTGATATTCTGCTGCATATGTTCAATTTGCCAACAACGGCGGAAAAGCTTGAACCCAAACTCAGCAATGAGCCCCTCCCCAGAAGATTTACGGGTCGGAAGCGGTCCCAACTGGATCCCAAAAAGCGAAGGTATCAAAGTTTCTGATTTTTTTAAAAAAAAGGTGATGTGACGCCTCAGTTTTGTATTAAACATTCTTATTGATCTGAACATTTTAACGTGTCATTCCCATACCAACTGCGGACAAGATCATATGTGCATGCTTATTCACGTGTTTTGGGTTGATTGTGATTATTTTAAAACGCTGGACAATGAACTTTTTTGAGTAATAAACTCTCCCATCTGCCAGCTTCGGGCTTCTCTCTATTCCTTCCGGGGTTGCAGTCAGTGGCTGTTGCGTACTAAGTAAGCTGTCAGCTAAGCGTGCGTATTATATCGTTCGGTATATATAACCATTAACCTTCGAAAGTATAACAACTACATTAATCAATTACTAGTTAATAATTAATCTTATAAATAATGCCTTGAGACCATTTGAACTGAACACACTGAGTGGACAAATATCTTCAGGTAAAAAATTCTCGAACTACCTGAAGAGAGTAGAATCTCAAACACTTCGAGTATCAATTCTATCTGGAGGTTTGTGGAGGTTTATTAATTGATTTTTGGTCTGAATTCATCATGCACTGACATAATTTAGAAGAAGATTTGAAATCTGAGATCACTGATTAGCTGTTTCGCCTTAGTATGAGACTTTTCAGCAGTGAGCGCACATGATCCTGTCAGCCACAGGTCAGAACCAGGACCTTCAAGCCCGGTGACCAGCATGTTGCCATTGAGCTAGCCACTGGATCAGAATCCAGTGGTCCATAATTCCTACTTCTGTCACTTCATGACATCGTGCGACGTATATCCAATGTCGTTTCTGAGTAACTGTCCTCATGTTCGACTTGGTTGACTCTACTGGTCACGACTTCTCATTGGAACTTCAGCAATCATCTCTCAAAGCTAGTCAACAATAAGAGTTAGAATAATTCTATCTGGAGGTTTGTGGAGGCTTATTAATTGATTTTAGATTGGAATTTATCCTCCTCCTCATCATCAATTCAAATACATGTTAGAGAATGATTGCAATAAACTAATCAGAGGAAGTTAGGACTTCATAGATCTTTTTATTCTTCTTAGTACATTTTTAAATGAAGGTTAATAAAAACAGAAACGTATTGGAAACCCTCCTGGAAGATACTAGGAGCCTTAAAATTTAGTTTTGTAAAGAAACAAATTTTGAATAAGAATAATGAGGATTAAAATGAGGTATAGTTCCTCATTTTCATCAAATATAGATAGAAAAATAGCTCGTCAAAGCAACATGAGGTATCGCCTCAATCTGGAAGCAAATATTTCACTTCAGGTCATCCCACCTTTATTATAATTATTTGTCCCTTGACTTCCTAATGGAACACAGGGCTTCAGTAGCACGTCTCCAATGCGCTCTGTTCTCTGAAATCTTTTGAACCTGGCTCCACGACAGCACACTTTCTCCTCGCATGATCTCCTCCATGTCACCTCATCCCACCTTTACCAGTCATAATTCTAATCTGTAATTATACTAACCAAATTCAATAGTTTCTGTGTAGGTAATCTCTAAATAATACAAAGGATCATTATCTGTTGAAGTTAGCAAGGCATACAGTTAATATATATGCAGCATATAAGCTGGATTACAAGGTAAAACAACGGAGAATTACAAGTATGCCAATAAATAGTAATGACTAATACCCGTTGTACAAGAAGTGGCTATCGTTCCTCCATAGCACAGTGGATAACGCCTGGGTATTTGAAGCGATGAGTACAAGGTTCGAGTCTCAGTGGAAGGAACATCACTGACTGGGGTGGTAGTACATCTAGCTGACAAGTGTCAAACAGGACGAAACAAGCGTCCTGGATTCCTTTGCTAGCCGTAAGAAATCAAATTATAATAAGCAACACTCAAGCAATACGAGGCATCCACAGAGGAGCTCATATGTCAATAGAGGTAGAATAATTCGATCCAATCAAACAGTGGAGAATTACAAATAAATCAATAAATAGTAATGATTATAAGATAGTTTTTTTTTTCATCAGTACTTCAAAGTGTTTGGCAACTGGTATCATCAATTTCTGAATAGAAAAAAAATTCATAAAAAAATGAAAAGTGAATTATGATACAGGGTTCCAAATATGCCACATTATATTCATATCTAATGGATTTTTGCATAACTCTAACCAATGTTTAATTCCTATATCCTGTAAAGATTTAGAACCAATACTAATTTCTCCAAGTACCTGTTTTACTCCATATTGATTCAAATGACGTAATTGGAAATAAATTTGTATATCTTGTAAATTATCATGTTTTTTTAAATTTACAATAATAGTATGATCAAAATATTGATTATTTCCATCTTTATATGATGAAATAATTTCACTTTTAATAATTTTTCCATAGATTATCACATAGACAATTACATCAATTCCATTTTTATTGATTTTATTCAAATTAAAATTATGCATTTCAATTAAACGTATTAATAGATATTGTAAATGTTGATATTGTAATCCAATGCATATTTCACCTAGATCTGAAAAATTAATTGTATATACCTTTAACATATTACATAGAGTATATGTTTTATTTATGAATAAGTTGATATTAATATTTTTGAGTAAAATATCTAAACGTCCAATACATTTATGTTGACCAATTGTATCACATGTAAATACTTCAATTATTAAATTAGTTTTTAATAATTGTGATTTTAATAATTTAAAATTAAAGTATTCATTCCATTCTGGATTTATTTTATTAATATATAATGTTTTTTTCTTTTCTTGATGATCTAATAAAATCCAATAAGTATGATCCCAAATAGCTAAAGTAACTGTAACACATGTATTGTATTGAATTAATTCTAATGGATATTGTAAATTTTTAGCACGAATAATTCCTATAGTCAATGTATGTAATTTTGTACAATAATTTAAATTATATTCTAAACTACCTTGTCTTGTATAAACTTGATTCAATTGAAATTCTTCTATATTTTCATTATTACAATTTTTAATAAAAGTATCCTTATTGATTGAAATAATTGTCATTATGAATGAATGTTGACTATTAAAGTATAAAATTTTATCCCAATACCTTATAATAACTATCCAGATAAATATTAAAAGTAAGATACCGAATAAAATTAATAAAATAAATAGAAATATTACCAATGAAACATTTTTCATATGAAAAAAATTTACAAAGACTAATAATAAATGGATTAGTGTTTAATGATATCAAATTATTCTGTAATATAGTGTTAGTAGTATTTTCAAAAATCATCACAGATAGTCAGTCATCGCCAAAGATTGTAAATTTTCTTCAAAATCATAGTGTATATATATATATATTCTTAGTTATTAGGAAGGTTTATATATGCATGTTTTTTTTTTAGGGTTAGACTTCAAAATGTGACTGAGTGTTTTATTTATATGGAGTATTTTCTAGTTTTCATTTGATATGATCAGTATAAATGATTTATAAACACTTAAGTGTATTACAGTTTCAATAAAAGCACAATTGTTATTCAAATGTCCTTAAAACGAAATAAAAATGAAGATGAATTTTTATGAGAGCAATTATCATATGTATACAGATATATCTTATGCTTCTAAACAGAACTTTCTACTTAACAGTAATAAGTGAAACAGATTACAAGTGGTGAAAACATATATGAAGTCTAAAATAAATTAGCCATAAAATGAAAAAAACAAACAAACAAACATCGAATATCAAGCGCATTATAAACAATCAATATATTTGCACCAATAACACTAGTTTTGTATTCAGTCGTCGGTAAATGAATATTGAGATCTTGATAGGAATCAATAGACAAGTGCCTTGGTGAAACATAGAACTCACACCAGCTGTTAATGGTATATTTGGTTGAATATTCAAATACGATTTTCATATATATTGATATCAGACAGAGTGAAGGACGACTCTGTCTGTTCGTTTACCGTTGTCTCCCTAGTATTACTGCCATCTAGTGGCAACAACATGTAAGTATCTCTCAGGTATGATAGCGTATGTTTGAGTATGATGCAGGTGGTCATTTAATAAATAAAGTGATCTGAAAACACTGGCTTTGGTGGCTTGAACATATGTTACCCATGTCGTCTCAACGGCTTCTATACCGTTTACTGTTTTCTAGCCCTGCAACTAGTTGGAAGAATAGGAGGGTTGGCGTCGTGGAATGAAGGATATATTGGTGCCTTATGAATCCCTGGGTGGCGTCTGAGAGATCACGCAGCTCAATGGCTTGAAACGTTATCAGATTCGAAACCAATAGCACTCATGCTGTAGCTTCCTTCTATCTTCTGTTGCTGAAAAGTAAAGGAATGTTTCTTTTAGAATGTAGTTTAATAAACTGCCATTCTAATCATCCTATCATCATTATTAGTAGTAGTATTACGATTTTCCTTTTATCCACTTCCTTTTATTTTATGTCTTCAAAATAGTGTTATATTATTGTGTCAGTAATATCGAGTCATCAGTATAACAGCAAAACTTGACTACTGTAGTACAATGTAATTCATTTTTAGTTGATTTATTAGATATATTACACTGTGGGATAGTATTATTTACTGGATTACGTTTCGGACATAATTTATTGTTCATAGTCGTATCAAGATAACTACACAACTTTGAGGCATGATTTACATAGTTCTAATTTCTTCTCCTCCTTTGTGATGTGGGTAATAGGATTTTATACATGTACACATACAGATATATAAAGATATACAGATATATGGAAAATCCTACTATTCATATCACAAAGGAGGCGACAAAATAAGAAAGACGCAAAGGATGTCTCAAAGTTGTGCAGTTATCTTGATATGACTATGAACTATAAATTATGTCTTAAAGATAATCCAGTAAATAATACTGTTCCACTGTGATACATGTAATCAACCAAATAAATTGGAATATCAAGGCATTCACGCATCAGCCGATATGCCAATAGTAGTCTATCAGTCTCGTTCAATTGATGACAGGAAACACAATGAAAAACAATGACGAGAAGGATATGATATCTGTTATGCTTGATATTAACGCTGTTATCGAGAGAAGTTTAATCCAACAACAAATTGTTATGTATACATAACATCGATGTAAGCTTCCTTTTAGCTAGAGTTGCAACAAACCTTAGTATCTAAAAAATATAAACAAATAAACTATGTGGCCTATTTCAATGATATTTTAAGCTATAGACTAAGGTGGTGGATATCTGTTGCTTGGGTCAAACGGATTAGTCGCTTCAATTTGTTGTTACAGTCATGTTGGATTTTTTTCTGTGACGAAATATAACCATTTATTTCTTGAATAAGACCAAGACATGTATCAGCGAAGAAGAAGTCTTTCTTTTCAACGACTTCATTATCAAGTTGTACAGTCGTATTTATACTCAGTAAAATGAAAGATAATTTCACTAAAAGGTTGCTTAGTCAATATGTAAAACATACAGTCGGTAGTAAAATGCTAGAACCTGTGAGATCAAATCTATGCAAATATAGTCTTCCCGATACATTTGATTTTGTTCGCTGCATTCAACAAATCAACGTAATGGGTAAGTGTATGATATCGCTTGATGTCTGTTCTTTAGTTACCAATGCTCCACTTGTTGATTACACTGAACATTGGATTATCTACGAGTCACCTAAAAGAACTAATATTAAGATGTACGTTTAATGTGCAGTTCAGACTTAATGATATGATTTATAATCAGACGGACGGAATCGTATTGGGGTCTCCACTAGGTCTTGTTCTGGCTGATATCTTTATGGCAAAGTTCGAAAATAGGCAACTTGAAGAAATAATCTCAGAACTTTATTTGTATAAAAGGTACATGTACGATACTTTTCTTATTTGCCATGAAACATGTTCAGTGGACGAGCTGCCAAGATGTTTCAATGACTGTCACCTGTTTATTAAATCCACTGTAGAGGAAGAGTTAAATTCAACATTCCACCTTCTAGACGCAACGTTAAAGAGAAAGGATGATGGCCCGATTCAAAGATCAGTCTGTCGAAAATCAACTTGAACTGGCCAGTTCACTAACTTTAATAGTTGGGTCCCTCTCAGTTGTAAAAGAAATCTCGTGTTCTAGAATCTATAAAATATGTTCAGAAGACACGGTGGATGCTGAAATCGAAACTCTTAGGACAACACTATCTAATAAAAGATGCCCTAAAGGATTTATTGATAAGGATCTGAAGAAACTAATCACCCCTCATCCCTTTACGGTTCCTAAGAAAATCTTAACTATGAATCTAGAATTCAAAGTAGACACCACAGCCGAAATGTTGAGAAACCGTCTGTCAGCATGTATCAATAGTAGCTTCTATGCTGCTAGACTGAGACTCGTATTCTCCAGCTGACATCTGATTCGACAACGCATAGAGTATAGGCTCCCACTTATGTACACATGTATGTGTATCTACAAATTCACGTGATCCAATGCAGCTGACTATATTGGACATTGTAAGCGGGCCCTCCAAAAACGTGTAGCTGAACATTTCCCGGTTCGGCTTACCGAAGGCGAGCAAAGGAAAACGACTTCTTCCATCCGTGAACACCTAGTAGAATAGGGTTATTCAACACCTCGAGATTCATCATTTAAAATAATTTACAAAATTAAATTGAACTACTCCGAAGGTTTACGTTCCCATCATTTATGCATAGCTGAAGCATTAGCTATACATGAACAAAAACCGAAACTTTGTATTCAAAAACGTTTGTCAAACCACTTTCTTTACCTTGGCCATAACAATTCATTTTGGTCATTTTGTCAATTTCATTTCACTTCACTTTGGTATACTTCTCTTTTATCATCATCATTATCATTAATTTTCACTTCATTGACAACATTTGACTCATATTCCACTATTTAGTATCAATTCATTCCTTATTCACTAACTTGTTTTGTATGTTTTAGCTAAATTATTCTTTAACAGTAAGTGTCTCTTATCTTACCACTTGTTATCAATTCTTTCCTTATTCAGTGACCTATTTTCTATCTCTTCGACTTGAATAAATACCACCACCTACACCGATTGTATAGTTTGCATATTGACTCAGCAACCTTTTAGCTCAGTTATCTGTCATTTTACCGAGTATAAATACGACTGTACAACTTGATAATGAAGTCGTTGAGGAGAAAGACTTCTTCTTCGCTGATACATGTCTTGTTTTTCCCTGTGCCTTTTAGTTGCAGAGATCTATTGATCACCCATATTTATGGATGAAAAAAGTCACATTCAAACTGATAAGTGCTGCGTCAGTTCATAAGAATATATAAGTTTCCTTTTATGTATGCTGTTAGCTTTAGTAGCACAGAGGCGCTCTTTGGATAGCTGCTTTAAATCTTCACTTGCTTGTTAAATTTTGCAAATCACACATATACTATGGTGTGATATAAACATCTTTCTTTGAAACTGACTGAACAATGCCTGTTATTATGGTGAATAAGCATTCATTACTTCTAAGTAATTCCAAGCATACAAGTGAACAACTTCACTAAGACAAGATTGTTATTAATTACTGGAACCTGAACTTAATAGAATGTTTCGTTAGTTAATGGCACTTTATATCATATAATGTAGTTACCCAGAGAAATTTTTTGACATTACAAGATAGGCAATAGAAAAGATAATCAACCATTAGAAATATAAATATGAATCATATAAAGTATTAAAACTGTGCCAAAACTTGAATATTAACCTGAAAACCTAATGTCAGATTCCTACTCTTGAAAAACATCTTCTTACCAAGATAGAAACGTTGAGGAATAATACAAAATATCTGTTTATTCTGTTATTTGTTCTAATATACTATGCCGGGATTACACAAGTAAAATATGTCTTATACTATGAACCATACAGTTTTGTGATCCTTCATCCTATGAGTAAAATGCTCATTGGATGAAAGATCACAAAACACACTATAGTTTTTTACTGTAGAAAATTATTATTTACATAATAAGTAGTACCTCACATCCAATGGCCAAGAAATCAAAACTGATATCACATTCATTGAAAGAAGTGTTAGATATTATTAAGATAATAAGATCATGAATAAAATCTTTGTGAAAATGTACATTTTTCAGAACCATTCTATGCAGTTGATATCAAACCACACGATTTTTGAGCAGACAAAATCTGTCTACTATTAAACAGAAGACGTA